CTTTATTTAGTGAATGTACCGTGAAGCTAGTTAGCCCTGATCACCAGTGTTTATATGTCGGTCTCATGTTATCTATGAAAAAGCAAAAATAATAGATTAGTGCTAAAATTATTCCAAAGCTATGGGAATTCTTTCCAGGTTGATTGGGCAATAATACTTTCTAAATTTATTGGGCAAAGTAAAATTTTTCTTTATGTTCTAACTTACATCCAAATGTCTTGTTGCTAGTATACTATTTACACTTAAACCTTCTATTTTTTTAAATGGTGGATTAAAACTGCAAATAAAGGAAGGAGAAAGTAGGAGGAGGGAAAGGAGAAAAGAAGGAATGGAAAAATAAAAATATATATATATATATATGTGTGTGTGTGTGTGTGTGTGTGTGTAAACATAGCTATGCTACTAATTTCTATTATTTCATTGAAAGACAGATTTGTGCTTATGTCATTTGATCAATTTTTCATGTCTGTATTTTATAATCTGAGCAACTACTTTGAAAAAAATAGTACATTCCTACTATCTTCTTTTGAAACTTTGTATCATTGTTTTTATTCTTTAAAAAAATGAATAAAACTACAAATATGCCACTTGCCATAGACTATGAATGGCTGAACCAAAATTTCCCATGGTGTTAGTGAAACATTGAATTTACACCTTTTAATGTATTCCAGCAATAGCCATTTTCACAAAGCAGGGCTTCACATGGTTTTTGTGACGTAGTTTTCTTTACTTTCGGTCAAAGTATCAGTAACTTAGCTCACAGGAATTGTAAAGGTATAGAATCTGATAAAGGGTCCACAAAATGAAGTTAATGTTATAAAAATTATATTATTATTATTATATATTATATTATTATACAAATTATGTTATATTTATTAACCCCTATTCTGAAAAATACCTTAGTTTTAGAGCAGGGATAATAAGAATTAGCTCACAGTGATTTAAATTATTAGTTAAAGTGTACCACCTTAGTAGAGAGTTCTTTTCCTCATTTTAGAAAACCTTGTTTCAGGGGCTAGGGAGATAACTCAGTAGAATAAGTGCTTCCCTGGCAAGTACAAGGATCTGAGTTCAATCCCAGGTTCCACCAAAAAAAAAAAAAAAAAAAACCAAAAAAAAAACTTGTTTCATATAAATAAGGGTAATGGCTTTCCATCAACACAGAATTTAAGATTGGCTCAGCCTGGATCCTTTTACAAATAGATGGCAGCCAGGCATGTTGCAACATATGCAGACACCCTTCCAAATATCCAAAAGTGTGAAATGTCCCCACTTTTCTAATAGTATGTGCCTGGTGATCTTCTGTTAGTTAGTCCTTGATGTAAATAGACTAGAATTACTGAGTATACATCTGAAAGTAGTTTTAGGAGAAATCATTAGCTTTCAGCCAATATTTAAATGAAGATTTCAAGTTATATATGGTTTTTGGCACACCTATTTTATTGAGAGCTCTGTATTTGTATAATGGTAGTATTTGTAAAGTAAGTTTATGAATGCAAAGCAAAAAAATGACAAAAACAAAAGTGAAAAAGATTGTGAAGAACAAAATGGGTTATTTTGTTTGTATATGAATATTAATGAGTGACTAAATAGACTTTTATAAAATGGTTTTAAATGTTTAAATGTGTGGTTTTGAGGTTTGTTGAGGTTTGGCAATTAGGAATAATTTGGTTTGGAACTATACTTGGTGATAATATCTGTGAAAAGTTGGAAATTTAATCATTTCTAACAGTAGAGTAAGAATTAAAATTAATTGGAGTGGGATGGATGGTGGCATTTTGAGAGGAGAAATAAGTATTAAATGTTTAAAAGCCTGAATTACAAAATTATAAGGAAAAGCAAGCTTGGAATAGACATTCTTTGGGCTGGTGATGCCACTCAATGGTTATGAAAGCTGTTTAGTGCCGAATTTTGGCTGAAGTGGCAAATGGGTTAAAGGGGTCAAAGAATAGACGTGGGTGTTTAGTTAAATTTTTGCAGCTTTTTAAATGGGCGTTGATGTAGATTGTTCCAGAAGTTGTGTGCGTGTGGAAGCATATGTGCGCACCTATCTGAGCGTAACAAATGAGAGAAGACAAACATAAATAACCAGTGTGAAGAAATGAGACACTTTTGCCTTTGCTAAGCTTCTGACGCATGTGCTGGCCATTCACTTGATGACTGAAGAGCTTCATTTATAATTTTTAAATGCATGCTCTTATATTTTGTGAGAGGTATAAGCAAGAAGGCAAAAAAAAATATAAGCCTATCCATCCTACTATGGTGGAACGATGACTATTATAATTTTAATGTATTTCCTCCTAATTTTTCCCTCACGAGTTTAGAGATCTTACTGGATAAACATGTATGTCTGAGAAGGGTTTGAGATTTTTCCTACTGGTATGCTAACAGGTTAGCTATTATAGTATAATGTGGGTAAAAGACAAGAGAATTCTGAGCCACTCTGGGTTTTATTGCTTCTAGTGCAGAGAGCAGCACTCGTGTATTCATATTGGTTGCCATGGCTCATATTTCGTCAAGATCTGGGGGTAAGCCAGATGAGTGTGCTGTTGATTGCATTATGAAGGGCGACACTAAGGGAACTTGAATATTCTATATTGGGCACTAACATGCCTGCCCTTTCCTCTGGAGAGAGGTGCCATTATGCAAGGCAGTAAATATGTCTACCAAAGGGAGTTAGCACCTCTATTTCATGAACTGATCGCTATACAGAACAACTGTCCTTGAAAGATTTTAGAAAAGAAGATAATCATGGCTTTGCTCTTAAGATGTACAGAAACATGAAAGCCTCGTGGAGAACAGAACCTTCCTTTAGTAAGATAGTTATCAGCATTTAAAATGGCCACATATAAAAAAATCATAGAGTGGCAGCACCATTTACCATCAATTCCTGATTTTCCTAATATTGGTCTTTTAGATGGTTTCTATGCAAAAAGCTTTACTTAGACATTTCAGTTTGGGGCAAAGGATGTGGAATATTTACAATTGCCTTGTGTGTGCTGTAGCTAAATGTGGAGCAGATAGCAAATGGTGTCTCCCTGACTTGAAGTTATCTCAGTCTCTCCAGTTCAGCCTTCTGTGTAAATAGCACTGGCTGTGTGTGGTGAGCTTGTCTGTTGTCCCTAAGTTGTTATCCAGGGCAGACAGGCTCTGTAAACCCAAATGCTAATGCTGCTTTGGGTAGCCCATGCTGCACTGTTTCCCTTCTGGAAAGTGGAGATATTTCCTGACATATTCTGCTACTCATCCAACTACCTCAGACAGAAGCTCTTACAGCCTGGCATTAATGAGGCTCAGGAAAGTCCATTTAAATCCCTGCAGTACAATGGGGAAAAAAATCTGAGATCTGAATACTGTAATGACCATGTTGTCTAAACATCTGGAGGAGGCCTGGTCTGGTGACAGAGATTGAGGAAAGACAAAAATAGGACAATGACTAGGTTTTGCCCCTGAGACTTGTCTCTACAGGATGTACCCAGTATAGAGGCTTCCTTGGAGCACTGAGATTTTCTAAGGTCCCTAAGTCTCATGAATGAGACAAATGGTGGAGCTGGAGGAGGAATCAATGAAGCACACCCAGAGAGCCATTTCCTAGTCAAAAAATGTCAAAGAAAATTCAAGGTTGAAACCCGTGATGGGACCAGAGAGATAGCTCAGTGGTTTAAGCACTTGCCTGGAAACTGCAAGGACCAGGTTAGATTCTCAGTACTGCATATTGTGCCAGCCTGCCCTGGGCATACTGAGCTGGGTGGTGGCACAAGCCCATAATCCCAGCTCTGGGGAGGCTAAAAACCAGGCGGATCACCATATAGTCTGAGCTGCATAGTGAGACCTGTACCAAATACATTTTTAAAAAATAATTAATTTTTAAAAATGTGTGACAAGTGTAGCCAAATTAGTCACTAAAGATAGAAAGAAGTAACTTATTCATGGGGCTGGGGAGATGGCTCAGTAGAATAAGCGCTTGCCTGGCAAGCTCAAGGGCCTGAGTTCAATCCCTGGTTCAATCCATGGTCTGCTGAGAAGTTGAAAGAAAGAAACAACTTTCAACTTCTCAGCAGACCATGAGCACTGGGCAGGAGGCAATGCTCTCTGATCTTTTTTTTTTTTTGTAAGGAAGACTAGTGATATCTTCAAAAATTTATAAAATGTAGTCAGTGAATTTCTCTGTTTTTCAAATCAATATTCTCGATGATGCCTTATGCTCCAGGCTCTTCTAGAAGCTGGAAAATTGGTAGTAAATAGACAGATGAAGTACCAGTTTCAGAAAGCATCTAATATACAAAGCAAACAAATAAAAAATATCCAAGACCTTGTCGAGTGAGGAAGTGTGCTGTAGAAAACAGGAAACTGTGTAGTTGCAGATCTCTGACCAAGACTTTGGGAGAAGGTGCAGAGCACCATTTGAGTGAACAGCAAGAGAAGAGAGAGAACTCTGCCAAGAACACATTTGGCTGAAACCTGGAGAGTGAGGAGCTGCACAGCAAAGGCAAAGTCGATGGAACGCAAACAGGGCACGCCGTCACTACATAAACTGAGAATGGATGGGGGCCCTTGGAAACAGCTCTGCCTGTCTTCACAATAAAATATTTCATGGAAAAGTAGTATTTGATGTTGAAATTGTTCCTAGTTCTGTCAGATTGCCTTGCATTCCTGGAACCTTACTTCACAAATGGATGGATGGAGGGATGGAGGGATTGATGGGTGAACGTGTCTTAGAAATGAATTGATTGATTCTCTTCCCCTTTTAAATTGAAGCTGTGCCTGTGACACAATTGGAAGATGTCTCTCTCAGAAGATGCCATGTGCGAGTCTCAAGGACTTTAACCCAAACTACTTTGTCCATTCTAAGAGTCAAGAAGGGAGTTTGTCTCAATCAGCATTTGTATTTCTTTCTCAGAGATCATAGCCTGTGGCTCATTTCCACTAAATGCCAGGTGTTTGTTTGTTTGTTTATTTCTCTTTATTAAAATGGTCACAATTATCTTTATTTTTACCAGACAGGAAGCACTTCTTGCGGCAATCAGTGAAAAAGATGCAAATATTGCCTTGCTGGAATTGTCTGCCTCCAAAAAGAAAAAGACACAGGAAGAAGTTATGGCCCTCAAGCGGGAGAAGGACCGACTAGTGCATCAGTTAAAGCAGCAGGTGGGGCCTCCTGCATGAAAGGTGTGTTTTGCTGGGCCTGGGGCCTTGGGTGCTTTCTCTGGAATTAGCCACTCTTCATTTTCCCATGTCCATCCTGTGGGCTTAATCACCTAAAACCAGGTAGGAACAAAATGGGCCAATCTGGTGCTATAACATGATTTGACTGCTTTTCTATGTTGACAGTGCATGTGGCTGGGCTTATGTAGTTTGCAATCAGCGCTGTTTCTTTTATATTAGCATCATCTCCCCAGAAGTAACTCTCAGCTCTCTTCCTTCCAGTGGACTTTGACTTCTAAATAAATTCTTATAGTTCCCAATTAAATTCTGGGTACCTTCTTTTCTGTTGGACCTGTGACCTTCTGTTTCTGTCTTGCCCACTTCCTAACCTGTGTAAATAACTTGCCTCATCCACTTCTTTAAGTTTCTTTCTCTCTATACTTCCAACTTTGGTTCTTCAGCTTTTTTCTCCAGGACATTTCAGTAAAGGAACAGCTCCTAGCCCCTCGTACTGTAAACTAGGCATAGAACTTCATGGCCATTGTTCAATCTAATTTTTTAAATCACCTTTTTGTGCCATTTTCCTGTGCTTTCTCTTCTCTGGGCCATTATATTTGTTTTCATGGAAAAGGAAGGAAAGGCATAGGCTAACTTGTACTTAAAGTTCTCTGCCTTTCAGAGGAGTTTCTGGAAGTGGTTTAAAGTAGAAATAATTGTGCCCTAGAGACTACAGGTATTATTTCTCCTGCATATATAACCTGGAGAATTTCATAAAGCGATGGCAGTTCACTCAGATTCTAACTTTATTATGAAATTTGCTCAGCTCACTGACCTCTAGGCTCATAAGTTGGCTGCCTACCCTAGCCAGGGTAAGATGTGGCTCCAGAGCTCTCAAAATGACACAGGTTTACTATGTAGAGTATCCACAGTGATGTGCATCCCTGGGCATGGCTGTGCCTGCTAGGATGAGCTGTACTAAGCACAGCATGTAGGATGAGTGGAAGAGATGCCTGAAGGAACGAAACCTCTTAACTTACAACAGTGCTATCCTTTCCCTCCTCAGGAAGGAAAAGGGATCTGTTAGCCCTAAGCGAGTTCATTTCTCACGGGGCTGCCTTGCTGAAAGGTAGACTGCTGCCATGCCTGGGCCCTCTCCTTGCAGAAGGAGGCTCTCCGTTGCTGCTGAACATTGGGGTCATTCCACAGAGTGGCATGCCTCGCTACCGCTGGCCCATGGGTAGGGGTAGGGGACTGCTTCCATCAGACCTCTTTGTTTGGGGCTGTGCATCTTCTACACTGGATTCTGTACCCACGTGGCCCCAGAAAGTCAACATGAGCTTCCTCCTCTCTTTTGCTCCAATTCTTCCCTTGTACTCCCTATAAACTCCCCTCCTGCACCTAATCTATGCAGCTTTCTCCCACAGGTGTATAGACCTAAGAAACAGCCCCCGAGCTCGAATATACCATGCACTTGTGATGCTGGCTACAGCCCAGATATTACGGCCAAGTACCACGGGTCCAGCTACGATGTATACATGATGCAAAGGTCTCAGGTCAGTCAGCTGCTAAGGAGATGCTCTCCCCCAACAGGGGACCTGGGGATGCATAAGAGCTATATCCTACTCTGACCTTCCCTTCTTCTGATAATTTCTAGTGTTCAGTGGCCACAGAGTTGGAGACGACAGGTGATATATCATGCAATGATCTGCAGTTTAATTTCATTTATTATATGGTTGCAGTAGTTCCTAGCTTGACAGCCACCCTACAGGGTCAGGCCTTCTGAAATGGCCTTGGGAGGCCACAAAGCCAAGGAGCCAGGGGCATTGCTGTCAATCAGAGTGCGTTATTCAGAATGGATTTTTTTTCTTTCTTTTAGACACACATCTACCTCTACTTTTCCCAGTAAGGATTTTTTGAAACTTTCTTTCTTCTTTTCTAAGCATCATGAAAATGCACTCCTCGATTCCAGTAAGGATCAAGTGTAGCCCTTCAGTTTGCTCCTGGGAAACTGCACAAAGCCTTCATTCTTTGCAACAGGCTTGGTTTTCCGTATCATGGGGCACATTTGGGAAATCCCAGCTGTGTAGAGTTAGGGCCCCTGCCTGGGCTGAGGCAGGATCTGAAGGCTGCTGTAGAGAAAGAGGCAGTGAAGCAAGAGGCTGAGCTCCTTGGTGATGTAGCTTAGATCTGAAATCCCCTCTTATATCTTATCCACCAAAGAGCAAGAGAAACTCCATTCATTTAACTGCCTTTGCTGCAATTGGCCATGAGTCTAACAACAGTGGCTAATTTGCTTATAAAAGCAGCTCCCTTTTTCTGAGCATTTACTGAGGCTGAGGCTGTGTATTCAGATTCCTGCGAGGATTTTGGCTCCCAGTCATCCCAACCACGGAGCAAGTGGGGTGTAACTGAGATTTTCAGTGTGGAATGAACCAGCCCAGAGACACACAACTGTAAGTGACATGCCTCAGGCTTTAGTCTCCCTGACTCCCGGGTACACACAAGGTTTAGTAACAAAATCACAGTGATAACAACAAGCAGAAATTGTGACGTTCTTTGATCTTCATAAGCCTGATTCAGATACCCAAAAACTGAGTTATGGAGCCAAGAACTCTAAATACTTATAGAGTTCTACCTGGAGTTCTTAGGCTTACATTACTATTTGACCATATCAAGGGTAATTATTAATACTTGTGAGCTTACCACCTATGGGGCATGGGTCTAAAGGTTTTGCATACATTAATTGATCAACTCCTAACAAAACTAAAGGGCTGACTCTCTTATAGTGAAAATGCGATGATCCAGAGAGAGAAACTTGTTTATTTCTCGTAGTTGGATATATCCTGGTGTTTGTTAGAGACCCTTTGCCAATCTTAAGTGGATTTCACAGATGTCTTCCACAACTGAATTGCTTAGGTTGACTTTTGTTTCTCAGTCTTATTATCTGGATATTTATTAGCACTTCCCTGGACCTTAGTTTGTTCCATGTATTAGGGTAATAACATGATCCAAAGAATTACTTTGATGGGCAGTGCATACGAAGTGTTTTGCACATCCCTGGCATAAATGAGCTGTTATTTAGGCCACTACTGCTAATTAACATCACAACTAATCCTTAAAGGTAGTCTAATTTTTATTTCATCATTGCTGTTTAGCACACAGCTGGAGGGTACAACTCATTGAGAACATACTGTTGCATTACAGCAGAAAGAACAGACAGATGTTGGTACCTAAGCCTTCCTACTCCTCTTCTCTAAAGATCAAGCATTTGTGGAGCAGTAGCAGACATGTCAGGCACGTTAGCTCCCAGTCCCAATTTCTACCAGAGGCCCTTATACTTGTTAAGTTTGCTTGGGCTGTGTATGCAGCCATGGAGACATGAGTCAGGAAGGACAAGACCCAGACCTCAGTCGTCTTTCCCTGCATAACTGCCTTGGAAGAGCAGAGCTTTTTTAGGGCCCAACCATCTGAAGGGAGAGATATGGATCCAACCTGCTCAGTTTCACCATGGGTAGTCAGACCAACTGGCCTATGAAAGATGTCACATGCTTCAGGCTTTCTATGGAGCTTAAATTATTTTATGCAGAAAATCTCTCCATTGGCCAACACCATTTCCAGTGACTAAATATGAGTAGTTAACTCAACATCCACCACAGGAACATTAAAAAAATAGTATGAAAGTATGATTACCACACAGCAGGGACCCTGTCAAATGATTTATATGATATAAGTTTACAAACCAGGCTGGCAATATAGCTCCATAGTAGGAAGCTTGTCTAGCATGCTCCAGGCCTTCAGTTTGATCCACAGAACTGGGAGGGAAAAAAAAGAACTAAAAGCTTACAGATATCTTATATTCTCCCCTTGGTGAACCAACCAATATATCATGTACTTTCTATGGGCCCGGTTTTCTGCCAGATGCTAAGGGTTTGCCCATAAGCATCATCCTCATAATTTATCAGACCAAGGTTCGAAGAAACCTTAAACACTATTATACCACTTATTTGTATTTAGCAGAGTTGGGTTCAGGCTGGAGGAGTGCTGAGACTGCTCTTGGTTGGACTGAACACTGGCTTCCTAAATCAGCACTGTCAGCCATGGATTAGTTCTCATGTCTCATAGATGTCATCAGGGGCACTGCTTCTGGTGTCAGCCTGCTCAGGAGAGACAAGGAGCTGGGCAAGACCAAATGCTGTGTTGGAATGAAACTCAGCAGGTGTTTACTGCATGTTGACTTTGTATTATAGTGGTAGGCATTGTGGGTATACATCAGTGACCAAAATAAATACCCTTTGCTCATGGAGCCTAATTTTAATGGAGAGAGAAAAATCAATAAACAGTGAATGTAATAAAGAAATTATGAGTTACAGAAAAGGAAAATATGGATAAGGGAGAATAGAAGTGACAGGGTAGGAAAGAGGGGCTGGTAATGCCTTAGAAAGGAACCAATAGGAAGAACCTCTGGGGAAGGGTATTTGGGTAGAAGCTGGAAGAAGGTGAAAGAGTGAGCCACGTGGACATTTAAGAGAAGAATGTTCCAGCAGAGGTAGTAGCCAATGCAGAGTCTCTAAGGCAGGAGCCTACTGTGTGTCTACAGAGCAGAAGCAACCAGTGTGGCTGCTATGAGTGAGTGAGAAGGTGAGAAGTAGACAGTGTAGAACGTTGGCCACCTCTGCCCAGAGTGGAGTATGCAGAGGTGGAGACACTTATCTGATAGCTTCAGAGGCAGGAGAGCTCCCACATGAGGTGGCCTTCCCTCTGATGGTCACTCTGGATTGCCTAATTAAGACTGCCCTGGCAAGCCCATGCTTTTACTCCCAGTCTCCACTTCCCAAGGAGTTTCAGAGGCTTCTCATACATTTTTAAGATGCACTGTCACCAATGTTGGAGCCACAAAGAAGAACTTCTGCCAGAATCTGCTTATCACATGAGCTTTTCAGGTAGAGTGAGACTGTGGCCCTTGACAAAATGCAGTCCCCAACTTTCTGACAGCCTCAGTGGCA